TCAGCGAGGGAATTTTTCCCTCGCAGATCAGCGAGGGATCAGCGAGGGAATGTGTTTTTTGTCATTTCCCTCGCTGATCTGCGAGGGAAAAATTCCCTCGCTGATAGTCGTCGCTGATACCTGGTTTTCTAGTAGTGTATACATCATCACTAGCCGTAAGCCTAACACTTTATCTTGTTGGCATGTAGATCAGGTCATACTAGGGACTAGTGATGGCCAAACCGGCCCGGCCCGGGACCGCCGAAGGACCGAAACCGGCCAAGGACCGGGACCGACGGTTACAACCGGTTAGGCTTTTCGTTCGAAATCTGAGACCGGGACCGACTAAGACAGGTTAAGGCCCAACCCGACCCGATTTTTATAGTCGTTTTTTTTTTTTGAAAAATAGTCGTTATGTGACTATTAGAGAGCCGTTAAGAGCCTTCTTTTTGTAATTTTTTTCCCCAAAACACTATAAATATGTATCAAGTTTGGGAGTTAAACATACCAACTTTCTCTCTTCTTCAAAAACACAAAAAATGTTCACAATTCTCGATTTCTCACTATATTTTGTAAATTCGACTCGTATTAATTTCTCGTTTCCACTTCAGAATTTGCATTTCTTTCTTTCTTTGTGTTACAAAATGGCCGGTGAATAACACGATGCATCAAACGAACAAGTTGCCCAAGTTCTCGCCGAACACGGACGAAAGTCCAATTGTTTTGGTGAACCGTAGGAGCAATTTCAATCGTTTAGTTGTGAGTTACGGTCTAGTACCAACAGCCCTCACCCTGATGAGGCATCTCTTTGGGAGCAGAGTGTCGGCCTCTGTAGGAAGGGCAGCATCTTTGGTTTCGGGACCTCCCAGGATTCCTCTTATGCTATGACGGGTAGATGTAGCAGTAGCATCGGGAGATTATACGAGCAACAGCGGAGGTATGTTGGTTATATTGTTATATACTTTCTCATCACTAAAATTGTGAACAAATTACTGATTTTGTCGAATATTGAATATTTACAGGTGACGGAGTTGAGAGAGAAGTTGGCAAGGGTAGAGAAGGAACTGGAAACCGAACGGAAGAATAGGACAAATTTGGAGGCAGACAAGCTACCTCGTCAGCCGAACAGGCCAGACAAGCTATTGCGTTAGCCAAACAGGCAGCCTTATTGGAGCGTTTTGCTACCTTTATGCGGCAGTCAGGATACGTTTTCCCCCCTCCCTAACCTCCCGGTAGTTAAATTGTATGAATTTGAACATTAAATTGTATGAATTGGATATTTTTAAATTATATGAATTGGATATTTTAAATTGTATGAATTGGTTAGCTTTAATTTGTTCATAGTTTTGGTTTGTTATATTATGATCAGGTTTTGTATAAATAAATACATGAATTATGTAATTATAAAAAATTTATTTTTAGATTAATACAAATTAGCGACAAATTAGCAAGGGAAAATCCATAGCTGAAAGTCCCCCTATCCTTCGCTGATCCGTCGCTGAAAGTTCCCTCGCTGATCTGTCGCTGAAAGTTCCCTCGCTGAAACTTTTCTCTCGCTGATCCGTCACTGAAACTTTTCACTCGTTGATTCATCGCTGAAAGTAACCATCGCAAATCCGTTGCTGATTTCCGTCACTAATCCGTCGCTGATAGCATTACCTACGAGCTTTTTTTGTCCGATGTACTATCAGCAATGGATCAGCGACGGAAGACTCCTTTAACAATAGATTTGTGAGGGATTTTTCCCTCCCTAATACTCTTCATTTTTGTAGTGATAGTAGTACTCAAAAATCCAAAAAATTTAACATTATGACCCTAAATAATGTCATTTTATGTACCAAAAATATATCATATGATATTTTTGATGATGCTACATAAAAATGTTCTAGTAGACAATATTAATTTAAAAATAATTAATGATTGATTTTGCGTCTAGGAAAAACAGTTTTATATGAATTTAATGTTATTTTTTATGATAAAAACAATCTATTGAAAAAACATCGTACTTATCAATGGGCCACTTTTCACATCTCGCCTAGGATCTAAAAAATGTCAGAAACGGATCTGTTTTTAAGTTTTTATATGTATATTGTTCTTCCAATTGTATTTTATGATGTAACTAGTAATCCATAATACTATAGGGACCAAAAGGAAGTTTTTCCAATCACCTCCATCCACTCTCGCCTCTCAATCCCCACAATCATCTTCAATAATGCTCTCTTCCTCCCTCTCCTTACCCAATCCTTCCTCTTTTCTATCAAACCCCTTCTCTCTCTCCACCACCACCACCACCACCACCAACCATCGTCTTCATGTATTCACCACAGATCCATTCTTCAATGATTCCACATCGCCGGAGGAACGTATTGCTATTCCGGCAGGACTCCAGCGCGAGTTAATACCAAAGCACGTGGCGGTGGTGATGGACGGAAACAGGCGGTGGGCTCGGTTGCGAGGATTGATGCCTGAGGCTGGTTACTTGGCCGGTGCCGGAGCATTGAAAGCGGTGGTCAATCTGTGCAGTAAGTGGGGAATTCAAACCCTTACGGTATTCGCATTCTCATCCGATAACTGGTTGAGACCCAAAGTAATTACGCCTAAAGTCCAAAGTAGATACAAATAATATCTGATTTTGTGGGTTGAATCTGAATGCGTGGTTGTGGTAGGTTGAAGTTGATTTCCTAATGAAGCTGCTTGAAACTGCATTGAAAGATGAAGTTGCTTATATGTTGAGGTAATTGTATTTTATGTGATATAGGGGTGCAATTGAGGTTATTCGAACTCGACATGAAAACGAGCTCAAAACATTACTTTCAGCCTCAGAACTCGAACATTTCTATAATGTCCGAGCTCGATACCCGTTTACGGGTTTAAACTCGAGATGAATTAGCTTGTTGATTGGCTCAACATCACTGATATCCATATACTTTTATTATATGATTTAGGGAAAATTGCAAGAAAAGTAACATGCTCTGTCTTGATTCCTGTTTTGGGTAACGTATTTTTAAAACTTTTATTTTGGTATCTAAGATGTGAAGTTTCAAAAATAAGTACCTGAGTAACCGATTTAAGTATTGACCGGTTACAAATGCTGATATGATGAATGATGTCTCATCAAGTTTAATATCATTTGCTAACGTGGCTAGTGAAATGGCTTTTTAAAATTTAAAATTAGTTTCAAATTTATTCATTTTATTAGAATTTACGTAGTTGATGGATAGGAGGGAATATAGGATCCGGGGATATTTTGATTCTAGTTGATCACGGTGCGTTGTTTGATTTAACAGGGAGAATATCCGACTTTCGGTTATCGGGGACTCATCCAAGCTTCCAAAATCGTTACAAGAATTCATAGCGTATGGTGAGAACGCGACGAAGGACAATTCACATATGAATTTCGTTTTAGCAATTAATTACAGTGGAAAATACGATATCGTCCAAGCTTGTCAAAGCATCGCTTTAGAAGTCAGAGATGGCATTGTTGAACCGGAAGAAATCAACGAGTTTATGATTGAAAACAAACTTGGTATGAACTCTAAGCGTTTTCCACACCCTGATCTTCTTATTCGAACGAGTGGAGAGCTTAGATTGAGCAACTTCTTTTTGTGGCAATTGGCATACACTGAACTGTATTTCACGGAAGCCCTTTGGCCGGATTTTGGAGAAGAAGAACTTTTGCATGCTTTACGTGCTTTTCAAAATAGACCAAGACGATATGGTAGATGACAGTTTGTTTAAAGGTAGGTATTATTAAACAAACCCCTTTTGTGTCAAGATCAAAATACCTTGGAATTCAAGGAAGTTTGATCTTGACATGTGGGAAAAGGGATATATAACATTGTTCCATTATCAGGTTTGCTAGAATCTTTATTACTAAAATGTCACATTATTAGATATTTTATATATCATACTCTTAATTTAATTTATAAAGATCAATTTCTTCGAGTTTACTACTTATATATTTGGTTTCGTTTTAGTTTCACTATTATACTAGTCTTTTAAACTCATGGCCATACGTTAGATTTCAAATTCATGTGTAAATCTCGTGATTACGTTTAAGTTGCGGAAACCAAATATTTCCAACTTCTAACAAAGTATTCACGATGGTTTTGTTTTAGTACATTTGTTTACTTTCGGTTTCACTTTTAAAACAAAGTCGTGCATGCGTTTATTATTTTAGATTGCATTTCAAGTTCGCAATTAACAAATTGTGTTTCGTCTTTAACTTAGTTATGTGTTTTCTTTGGGAAAAGTTTTGTCGTCGCGCAACTTGCGGCGTCACATCCTAGTGACATGTTTGTACGCGGGCATGTATTGCGTATTGTGGCGTGCATTGGACTCGATAAAAGAATAGTGATCCACTATACGTAATACGTGGTATACATGTAAGTATTTTACATACATATATAAAACCTAAATCCTAACAAAATAAAAATACGTATTTACAAAGAGAAAAAAAGAAAATATAACCAAAAAGAGATTTTATCCTTAAATCTGCCATAAACAACTAAAAAAATAAAAGATATTTAAAAAACAACTTTTTCCAGCTGATACTATATGGAACATGAGTGTTATAAAATTGAAAAATTAAAGACCATCGTTGTAGATAGTCCGCTTTAAAGACGAAATGCAATTTTTTAGCAAATCACATGGACCCAATAGTGGAACTAACTCATCTTTTAATTAGATATTGTGTTGCCTCTTTTTTTGGCTATGCATCACCTGAATAGTTATTTTACGATTAAGATAATTAACTCATCTTTTAATTAAGCAATTTGAATTTCGTAGAGTGATTGGGACTGTGACGATTTTGAAATTAGAGGGATTTCGAATCTTTGGTGTGTTTGGTTTTAAGATCTAATGTAATTGAATTTGATTATTCATAACTATTTTATAAAAACAAATTCTAAAAATAATTAATACTTTTTGTATTAATTGATTATTACAAAATGGTGGTGGCGATGAACGGTGTTGGTCGGTGGCTGACAATGGTCGTAGAGGTCGTGGAGGAGGTTGTAGTAGAATAGAAGGTGGAGGTGGCTAATGGTGGTAGTGGTGGTCGGTGGCCGACGATGGTTGTGAAGGTGGTAGAGAAGGTTGTTGTAGTAGAAGAGAAGGTGGAGGCGGCCAACGGTAGTAGTGGCGATGGACGGTGGTGGTAGGTGGACGGTCGTGGTTGTGGAGGTGGTGATAGTAGGTGATGATCGGTGGTTGTGGAGGTAGAGTTCTTATCCCTGTCTCATGTCGTACCAAACGTAGAACAATGAGTTCTTGTCTTGTTCCATATCACGTCAAATAGACCTCTTCATCACTTGACATCCATTGGATATGAGGGGAACTGAACCGATCCAATCATCTATTGAATGTTGGATTTTGTCAACCGATCTGATTCGATTAACATTGGATACCGTTCCAATCCAATCCAATAGATGGTTGGATTGGTTCGGTTCCATCAATTGTATATTTTTATTAGATATCGGATATCCAACGGATGATCCAATAGGATTGGATCCATGCAGTGTATTAATTCAATCCAATTCTCCAACAATTGATACAGATTAATTAATTACTTTTGATATGTATTAAAACGACACAAGGGAAGTTAAAAATTTAAAACCTCACACAAAACAAATTCCGATTTAAGCAATTTGAAAACAAATTAATTGGATGATAGTTGGATAATGGTTGGATGGATAACTGGATGGTCGTCAGATGATTAATTGAATGTCGGTCAAGATAGTTCGGTTCGAATTTTGGTCGGTTCTGGACTGTCATCCAAGAACCGAACGATCCAAATTGGATGTTGAATTTTTCAATTCGATCCGATCCAGTTATGGTCAGTCAATTGTAATTGAATTGGTTGGTTCTAATTGGATCGGTTGATTTTTTGTACACCCTTAGCGCTAAACGTAAGACAGTGAATTTTGTCTCGTCTTGTTGTATCATGTTCTATGTACCAAATGCAGCCTTACAACTTATTCGAGAGTTGAGAAAAATCAATTGAAATATATCAAATCTAAGCTAAAAAGATATTTAAGAAAGTTCAAATTTCAAAATTTCTTAACCCTAAGTTAGAGAGGGAGATTATAGAATCCCGATATATATACTATATTATAAAGCATTTGATAAAAACACTTAAAAATCATTTTTTATGCATGCAGTATTGTTTATTGATCGATGCATATTACTTAAAATTGAAGATTACAATTAATTGTACGTAAGTACAACTTATTAAAGCTCCATGTTTGAATTTGTGTAATTAACTGCAGATAAACATAATCAAATACAGGATAAAATCTCATTTTAAATATAAAAAATCTAAAATATAATTAGAATAATTATTGAATTCTAACAGAATACTTAATTACTATTTTCATAAAAAATTATATTGTTAACCTAAATCAAATTACTTCATTACGTTAAATTAAATTATAATAAAAAAATTGATATAAAGAAATTACACAAAAAAAAAACCTTTAAGTAGTTAATTTGATATTAATATCGATATAGTTTTTTTTTTATTATTATATTTTCAAATTTATATTTTATTCAAAAATAAAACATCATCGATTTCTCAAAACGACATAAAACCGTATAATATCGACATAGATAAAGAGTAAAACGAAACATTGAAATCGAGATATGTCTCGATACATTGCACGAATACCCTTTTAATATATTTTTAAGTATATTGAAATTATTGAATTGGATAATTTGTCATTGTAAATTATTTTACATTATTATCTAACTTATTAATAAGTTTGTATTAAAAATTTGTTTGAGTGTTAATTCAGATTTCATAGAATTAGTGGAGATGTACGTCTTGAATTAACACTAACAAAATGATTAAATAAACAAATAACAAAAGAAAACATGTGCATAAAGCTACTTGTACTCTTATGGTACAACCTCCTAATGCACAAGCAATTAACATCATGATAACGAGATATTCCTGCAAACATTAACCATTCATCACCTTAAACTCAGATATATTGTTTTAAAATTCATGTCAACCACATACAAACCCACCACCAGATAAGGCTTGGATAAGGCCCAACCAATCTCATCCGTCAGATGGATTCATCCACTTCATCCAACGCTCATCAAACCCTCACTTAGATAATCCCTTCCACACCTCCAACTCTACACATTACCACCTAAATTCATACCTGAACCCACACCAAACCCGACCACCACCAGTACCGTCATGGCATCCACCACCGCCGCGGCTGCCGCCACATCTTCCTTCATCGGAACCCGTCTCCCGGAGTTGCATTCCAACTCTGGTCGAGTCACGGCCCGCTTTGGTTTCGGAAAGAAAAAGGCTGCAGCACCTAAAAAAGTGTCAAAATCCGTAACGACTGACCGACCATTATGGTATCCTGGTGCAAAAGCGCCGGAATACCTTGACGGAAGCCTGGTTGGGGACTACGGGTTTGACCCATTTGGGCTAGGGAAACCGGCGGAATACCTACAGTTTGATTTGGACTCACTGGACCAAAACTTGGCTAAGAACTTGGCTGGGGACGTGATCGGGACAAGGTTCGAGGAAGGAGACGTGAAGTCGACTCCGTTCCAACCGTACACGGAGGTGTTCGGGCTTCAAAGATTTAGGGAGTGCGAACTGATACACGGGAGGTGGGCTATGTTGGCTACCCTTGGCGCGCTCACGGTTGAGTCCGTCACCGGTGTTACATGGCAAGATGCAGGAAAGGTACGATTATATATATAACCGAAAACTTTTGTTTTTGTCGACTTTTAATTCTTAGGTGTCGTTTGTTTGTTTCTCCATGCAAAGGGTTTTTTATTTTAACTTAATAAACTTCATGGGTGATTGACTTAATTGATTATGCTATATTAGACTCGATGAACCTAGCCATATCATCCTTGAACTAGACCATCTCTCGAAATTGAGATCGATAAGCGAAAGACCATCGCCTAGCTCGGTTAATCCAAAACCCAAAAGATTTACATTTCGCTATATGTGGTTTGATGATTCTGAGAATACTACAACAAAATTGGTAGGACATCTTTCAAAACTATTCCTTTTTGTGTCCAATTTCATTGGTTGAACTTGTTTCATTGTCTCGTTATGTTCACTTATTGTAATGCTTTTAGATATGACTTACAATATTTGGTCCTACAAACTTAAAATTAGTTAAATACTTGATTTGGATGTCCAATGATGGTTGGAGGCCCTAAAACATCCATTTTGTTGTAGCGAAAACTTAGGTCCTGTTTGGTTTGCAGAATGGAAAAGATTTGGGGGATTTGGAATTCAAATCCATTCAAATCTTTTGTTTGGTTTGCAGGCAAGATTGCTCGGATTTGAAGTCGTTTTAGAATCCCTCAGTCATGGGATTTGAAATCTCCTGGGGTTGATTGGGATTTTAAGGGTTTTCGAAAGAACTGTATATAATTATGTTTTAAAATATGTTAAAAACGTTTGTTTTCCAATAATCAAGTAATAATAAGGTAATTTAATTATTTTTATAATTATTTGTAGTTTGTTTTACAAATTATTTATAAAGAATATAATTCAATTCCATTCTAAATTCTAAAAACCAAACACACCAAACATTTATAATCCTTTCAAATCTAAATCCCTCCAAACCATTTCATCAAAGCGAATGCCTCCTTATAATTAATTATAAAAGAAAAATATGGTCATAAGAGACAAAATATGTATCAAGTTCGTAAGTCACATGTTATACCCAGATGCATATATCTATATAGAGAGGTAGGTTTATACGAGAATTGTGCATATTTAATAAAATAAGAAAATAGCCAAATTACGTACAGAATCATGTGTGATTTTACATTAACGGCCAAAAAAGTGTGTGAGCAACTATATGGCTGTGTGGCAAGGTCGTATGGCAATGTTGTGTGAATCACATGTGATT